TCACTAAATAAATCCCACGACTCTGCTGCTCTTGGGTCAGACACAAGTCATCAACGCTCTTGGGTCAGATACATGTCATCAACACTCTTGGGTCAGACACAAGTCATCAACGCTCTTGGGTCAGATACAAGTCATCAACGCTCTTGGGTCAGATACAAGTCATCAACGCTCTTGGGTCAGACACAAGTCATCAACGTTCTTGGGTCAGATACAAGTCATCAACGCTCTTGGGTCAGACACAAGTCATCAACGCTCTTGGGTCAGATACAAGTCATCAACGCTCTTGGGTCAGATACAAGTCATCAACGCTCTTGGGTCAGATACAAGTCATCAACGCTCTTGGGTCAGATACAAGTCATCAACGCTCTTGGGTCAGATACAAGTCATCAACGCTCTTGGGTCAGATACAAGTCATCAACGCTCTTGGGTCAGATACAAGTCATCAACGCTCTTGGGTCAGATACAAGTCATCAACGCTCTTGGGTCAGATACAAGTCATCAACGCTCTTGGGTCAGATACAAGTCATCAACGCTCTTGGGTCAGATACAAGTCATCAACGTTCTTGGGTCAGATACAAGTCATCAACGCTCTTGGGTCAGATACAAGTCATCAACGCTCTTGGGTCAGATACAAGTCATCAACGCTCTTGGGTCAGATACAAGTCATCAACGCTCTTGGGTCAGATACAAGTCATCAACGCTCTTGGGTCAGATACAAGTCATCAACGCTCTTGGGTCAGATACAAGTCATCAACGCTCTTGGGTCAGATACAAGTCATCAACGCTCTTGGGTCAGATACAAGTCATCAACGCTCTTGGGTCAGATACAAGTCATCAACGCTCTTGGGTCAGATACAAGTCATCAACGCTCTTGGGTCAGATACAAGTCATCAACGCTCTTGGGTCAGATACAAGTCATCAACGCTCTTGGGTCAGATACAAGTCATCAACGTTCTTGGGTCAGATACAAGTCATCAACGCTCTTGGGTCAGATACAAGTCATCAACGTTCTTGGGTCAGATACAAGTCATCAACGTTCTTGGGTCAGATACAAGTCATCAACGCTCTTGGGTCAGATACAAGTCATCAACGCTCTTGGGTCAGATACAAGTCATCAACGCTCTTGGGTCAGATACAAGTCATCAACGCTCTTGGGTCAGATACAAGTCATCAACGCTCTTGGGTCAGATACAAGTCATCAACGCTCTTGGGTCAGATACAAGTCATCAACACTCTTGGGTCAGATACAAGTCATCAACGCTCTTGGGTCAGATACAAGTCATCAACGCTCTTGGGTCAGATACAAGTCATCAACGCTCTTGGGTCAGATACAAGTCATCAACGCTCTTGGGTCAGATACAAGTCATCAACGCTCTTGGGTCAGATACAAGTCATCAACGCTCTTGGGTCAGATACAAGTCATCAACGCTCTTGGGTCAGATACAAGTCATCAACGTTCTTGGGTCAGATACAAGTCATCAACGCTCTTGGGTCAGATACAAGTCATCAACGCTCTTGGGTCAGATACAAGTCATCAACGCTCTTGGGTCAGATACAAGTCATCAACGCTCTTGGGTCTGATACAAGTCATCAACGCTCTTGGGTCTGATACAAGTCATCAACGCTCTTGGGTCAGATACAAGTCATCAACGCTCTTGGGTCAGATACAAGTCATCACTTGTAACCGGAACCATGTCTTTAGGTTATTTTAGACATTTTAATAGAATATGGGAATATGGTTAATTTCCCATTTCTTGTAGAGATTCTATAATATCGCCCCATTACCCTCATTTTTTGCGTGTGTAAAAACCATGGTGAGAGTGAATAATGGCAGGGCTATTTGGATTTTGGAATAAAAAAACCTGATCACTGATATTCAGTGTGGTATCAGGCACTAAAGAAGCACCGATTTAGTTTGTTTAAAAACTTTTATTAGAAATGCTTTTATCAATTACCAGCATGCTGTTGCAGTATTCCTCTTGAAGAGGCACATGACACAACTTGGAAACATAGCATTGTGAAAGATCTTCATGATATGAGATTACGTGGTACCATGCCCGAATCTATTCTTAATTTTCTCAAAGATAGACAGCTCCATGTGAGGGTTGGGCCTGCTTTATCCGTCTCTTATGATCAGGAAATGGGAGTTCCACAAGGAGGTATTTTCTGTCAGAGTAAAAATCAATAGTATTGATAAGGTATTAAAAGATGAGACAGACGGCTCATTGTATGTTGACGAATTTTGCATATGTTATCGTGCAAAGTACATGACTTATGTTTAAAAGAAACTCCAAATGTGTCTTAATAGAATTCATAAGTGGTCATTGGATAATGAGTTTCATTTTTCCAAATCCAAGTCACGATGTATGCATGTTTGTAAGTTGCGCAAATTGGATAATGACCCCGACTTAGAATTTGATGGAACTCCTTTAGAGTTGTAAAAGAGACCACATTTTAGGACTGTTATTTGACAGCGAACTATCTTTCCTGCCACATGTTAAGGCACTTAGAACAAAGTGCTTGAAAGCGTTATAATATATTTTTTAAACGTAGTACCCAATGCTAACTTCGGTGCCGACTGTTGTACACTTCTTCGTCTATATACAAGAATACTAAGTGTAATGAGATCAACAATGGACTATGGCTGTCCATGGCTCTGCTCGGGATGCGTGATGCAATACATAATTAAGGAATACACTTGATATCACCTCTCTCTCTCTCTCTCTATCTCTCTCTCTCTCTCTCTCTCTCTCTCTCTCTCTCTCTCTCTCTCTCTCTCTCTCTCTGACAAACGAACTAAACTGGTTTCAACCAATCAAACTGTGCTTTGGAGTGCTTGTGTTCCCTACGCCCTGTGCAGATATGTTTGAACGGAATTAAACAGCCATTCCACCATTGGAATATGGCTGAGGTCAATCTTCAAAGATGTTGATATCAATGAAAAATGTACCAATAGCCCCAAACTGTACTGGAGATTATGTAGCTTCTTCGAAGTCCTGTCGAAAGTGCAAATTTCAACTTCAGATTGTTAAATCAAAACATGAAAGAAACATAACCTTCCCTGTAGCAACCACAGCTGTGACATTCACACCTTTTAAATCTGTCCTGTCTGTCCATTGCCAGACAGATATGACTTGGAATACAACAGAAACTTATTCCTTATAACAGTCAAATTCTTCTTCCTAAACAGACAATACACCACAATTAGCAGCTCTGTCAACACCATCAATGGCAACAGCATTGAACCCCAGCCTTATCCAGCAGAAAAATTTATTATTAAAAAATCGTGTGCGAAAGGATCACCGTGACCCTATACAGATTTAAAATCGTTTTCAAACCTTGGAGGACATGGATGTCTCTTCTCATACTCACGGGAGCAACAGAGGTAAGTCGCCGAGAAATGAGAGACATAGTTCACCTGTTCACCAACCTGTAACATGAACATCTCCAATCCACTAGTTCAGTGGAATTGCAGAGGTCTCAGGACGAGTTACATCTTAATACAAGATACAAGATTTTAAGCCTTCGACAATCTGTCTCCAGGAGACATGGCAACAAACAGACTGACACCTTTGATTTGCATCAATACAGTTCAGGTTACTGATAATATGCTACCTTGTGGGACACCCTGATCTTGATCGTACAAATCAGACATGGCGGATCCCACACGTACCTGGAAATTTCTATCTGTTAAGAACTGCGATATAAAATGAGCGATACGCCCTCTCAATCCAGACCGCCTCATGGTCTAATGGTAGAGCGTCCTCCCGTAGAGTGGAAGGTCCGGGGTTCCATTGTGGACTGACCATTCAAATCCATTGAGTAAGTTACAGTCTGTAAAAGACAAACTAGAGAAGAGTAAGTGCCGGTTGCAGGATGAAGATTTAGTACTTGGGGCATGTATTTTACTTAAGTATTAGTTCTTGTGCCACTCCATATCGGTTATGGATAACATCCTGTCTCACAATGATTAAACGTTTCCGGTATGTCACCCGTGACGATCCGGGGTAGAATAGGTCTTCAGCACCCCATGCTTCCCGTAAAAGGCGACCATGCTTGTCGTAAGAGGCGACTAACGGGATCGGGTGGTCAGGCTCGCTGACTTGGTTGTTGCATGTCATCGGTCCCAATTGCATGGATCGATGCTCATGATGTCACTTGATTGTCTGGTCCAGACTCGATTATTTACAGACCGCCGTTATATAGGTGAAATATTGCTGAGTACGGCGTTAAACAAAAACACAAGTATAATATTACCCATGAGGGTAGAATGATCGTGTTTATTAACATCGCAATGAGAGGGATAACTTATGGGTGTCCCCTCCTTTATTGTGCCGACTCTTTCATCAGGTGAATGAAAGCATTCTAAGATGCAGAGAACATATATATGTACATTTAAAAATCAACAAAATTGATTAGATAACAAAGGTGTTACTTTCAAAGAGTTTATTGCTAGACATGTTTTCTTGCTTTTTCACATGAACAATTTTCTTGCCTCTGCATGTGTTTGTGATGGCTGCCACCGTTTACCTTTTCGCGAACACCTGGTTCGGGAAGGGAAGCCAATAGTTAAGTAGCGATGTTTGGTGATAATTGGGACAAATTGAAGCCAGAAGTTAAACTAGCACTGATTGGTATTAAGGAATGGAAACAAACGGAAGGCAACTGGAATAATTAGCCTTGATTGGGGCATAACACGACAGACAGACGGTGGCACAAATTAATAATTCCCAAGCAAAGATATGGCCCCCTGGTCACGGTTCATGGCTGTCTGGTACCCCCTGATGCCAATGACCTCTTGTAGTTTCCAGTGACGCCAGTTGTTGGTGGTGGACTTTGGTGGCTTCCCACGTGATGGTCATCTTCCCGAGGCAAGGGAGTTAACTGACTATAAAAGTGGGTTTCACCGAAGTTTTAAACGTCTGCATCACTTCGGGCTTTCCTCCCACATTAAGCTGATGCGCCGCGATACTACCGGAATACTGTAAAAAGCGGCATTAAACCCAACTCACTCACTCACTCACTCACTGAGGTAGTGATTCAAATTGTTTTTATTCCTAATGCAGGAAATTTTAAATTCCAGAAAACATCTGTGATAACTTCCTATCGTCGAAAACATATCCTGAAATACCTCGTCGGTGTGATACGAATTACATATTCTGTTATAAATACTAAAACATTTATTCTTGCAAAATTCACGTTTCTAAACAGTGGCACAAATGGTGGCACAAATGGTAATCAAAGTATAACCTCGACAGAATCTGAGGAAAATCAATTGTAATAACTATTTCAATGAGAAAATGAACGAAATCTTGACACGCAATTTGTATTTATTCGTTTATACTTTATATGACGTTATACTTGAATGATGGATATACCAGTTGACACATTGTGACTGCAGGGGTGTGGAACCTCATCCAACGATAGGAGCATTCCCAGACGATATCCACTGTCTAATGAGACGCCGGATATGGTTTCGTGCTTGCTTCAGCTGGACATTATCCATGGGTGAAGATTTGAATAGGTCTGCGACATGACCCACACCTGTTGCAGCGAATGAGTGAGTGAGTGATTATTCAACGGCGCCCCGTCACCAATGATGTGGATGGTGATTTACGGCAATCTCTTCGTGAACACATAATGCAACGAAGATCCATGAATGCTGTTTGACATTTGTCTTCCATTGGCTGGTATCGTGATTTATATATATATATATATATATATATATATATATATATATATATATATATATATACCCTTGAGTGAGTGAGTTGGGTTTAACGCCACTTTTAACAGTATCCCAGTTATATCGCGGCGTTATATACTCTTGAAAATCACATTTGTATACATACAAAAGTATTAATTTTTTTGGATATTTTTTTGTTGTAAATTTTTCGTAATTACATTTCCCATCATATTTTACATTTCAATGACATACATGGGGTGTGCATGGATTAATTGTTACTTTTAGCATAATTATGATAGCGAGATATAGTTCATTCCATATCGACCAAAGGTCAAATTAAAAAACAAAAACAAAAGTGCATTATGCGCATGTTTGTAGCATGGACAGATCATATATCATAGTTGAATAATAATAATATATGTAAAGAAGACCAGAAGGCATGATATTGTGAAATTCAAGACGTATCCAACATTCAACTGACTCGCTGCGATGTAACTCAAATACTGTTTTACTCTGATTTACTCGTGATGTATTTGTTTCCAAGCAAGAAAGGATACCATTATATATCTCTACAAATGTGTCAATGTATTTAACAATCACCATGTCCTTAGGCCACAGGTTGGGAAATCATAATGACGTACCTTGTATGACGTCGCAGTGACCATGGGAAATCATAATGACGTACCTTGTATGACGATCACAGGGGCCATGGGAAATCCTAATGACGCAACTTGTATTACGATCACAGACGCCATGGGAAATCCTAATGACGTAGCTTGTATGACGATCGCGGTGGCCATTGGAAATCCTAATGACGTACCTTGTTTGACGATCGCAGGTGCCATGGAAAATCCTAATTACGTACCCTGTATGACGTCGCAGTGGCTATGGGAAATCATAATGACGTACCTTGTATGACGTCGCAGTGACTATGGGAAATCATAATGACGTACCTTGTATGAAGATCACAGGGGCCATGGGAAATCCTAATGACGCAACTTGTATTACGATCACAGACGCCATGGGAAATCCTAATGACGTAGCTTGTATGACGTAGCAGTGGCTATGGGAAATCCTCATTAAGTACTTTGTATGACGATGGGAGTGGCTATCGGAAATCCTAATGAGGTGCCTTGTATGACGATCGCAGGTGCTATGGGAAATCCTAATGATGTACCTTGTATGACGATGACAGGGGCCTTTGGGTTTGGATCCTTGGTGAAACCATACTTGTGCCATGGATCATATGAGCCCTGGGTGTACACCACGTTGGTGGCCTGAATCCCTAGGCCTCCGTAGTCAACCAACATCTCCCGCTCGCCTCTGGTCAACAGGGTCACGTTGAATGCTGGACCAAAGTAGGCTTGGCAGACCCTCTCAACATAACTGTAACGTAAGAGTTTTAGATCTAGACAAATCACAATCTAAAGTTACTTGTCAACATTGTTACTTCATCAACATTGGGAGGTGGAACCAGTCGTCTTTGGCGTTGCAAAGACGCCAAGCAGAGTGTCCTCCCTTGTGCGTGTCAGAATCCAATGACTGTTGATTCGAATCCCATTCGCCCTGATAATGTTTCTCGGTTTGTCAGCACCATGCCCGTTTGAATAACCCATGTGTGAACCAGTGGAGATTCCAGGAACTGACACAACCCAGCAATATATGCATGTTGTAAGGGTAGACATAAATAAATGGTGTAGTCAGGCCCAGTAATTTGGATGATAGCGCGTTATTGTGCACTTACGGCGTAGGAAGTTGCTCACAATATCCACCACTGGTTTAACTGGCCCCACTCAATTATTTACAGGCCGCCGTTGTCTTTGTTCGTTTGATGGAGCTGGAATACTTCTGACTGCGTCGTAAAACACCAACATAAGGTTTGGATGACAACTTACTCTTCACTGATGACGTGTCCAAACGGCTGATTGTCAGACGTTGATGTGACGAAGGCTCCGAGCTGAGAGCACATTTGGTACATCCACTGGCGTCCTGCAAGGAAACGTTAACCTCATTTCTTCCCATTAACTTCCAGATATTATAAACTGTCCGCCAGTCTCGGGGGACATTGGCACTGGTACCCTCTCTGTTAGACAAGTTCATAAACCAACAGACCCGTTAAAATCCTGGGTGGAATAGGTCTTCAGCAACCCATGCTTGCCGTTAAAGGTGACTATGCTTGTCGTAAGAGGCGACTAACGGGATCGGGTGGTCAGGCTCGCTGACTTGGTTCATACATGTTATCGTATCCCAACTGCGTAGATCGATGCTCATGATGTCAATCACTGGATTATTAATAGCCCGCCGTCATATAGCTGGAATATTGGCGTTAAACAACAAACAAACAAATCATAAACCAACATACAGGGTACGTTAAACTATGTCACCCGGGGTACTGGTGCGAAACGAATTTATGTTATAAAAAACCTACTAATAATGCATGTAGTTGCATTAACTGAGTGAGTGAGTGAATATGGTTTTACAACGTTTTTAGCAGTATTCCAGTATTATAACGGCTTCACACATTGTACCCATGTCAGGAATTAAACCCCGGTCTTCAACTGACCATTTCAACAACTAAACATCATTAAATGTTATCTTTCCCCTGTATTATTTATGTCATTTGTTTTTTGCTTGATTTTTGCAAACTGTATTCAACAGGGAGCGCAGAATGACCAAGAGTGGGAGGTGTGGGGTTTGGGTGTCTGCGGGGGTGGAGTGTGGGGTGTGTGTGTGGGGGGTGTGGGTGGATTGAATCCAATCATCAAATGAAGGTGTAAGTACTGGTACCAAGTGGAGATGATGACCAAAGTTATCGGAGACGACTGCGATGACGTCGTCGGGAAACGGAACGTCGTTAGATCACTGAGCTGGTGATATACATGGAGATTACTACACGGGTGGCTGACAGATATCATTTATCTTACAAGCTATTTTAAAACGTATCTAGAGAATCAAAATGGGATTTCTCGCCCACAGGCGTTTCAGACAAGATGGATACATACGCTAATTATATAACGTAAGCTCCAGGGTGCCGTTGTACATAAAATCTTAGCGCTACGACTGTAGTAAGTCCATGTTAAGGTATGGGAGTTTCGATCACCTTAGCGCTTAGATCACTTTGTACAACGGTACCCTGGGAAATGAGCAGCAGGAAGTCGTTACCGTGAGCGATGTCTCCGCTCTTGAACGTCATGTTCTTGGCGTTGTTTACCATGAAGGTGAAGGTCACGTCGTTGCAAGGATCTCTGACATGTGTATAGTTGTTGTAGACGATTGCCTGATAGTCAGCCAGGCGGTGCAGGGGAGTTCCCCTGCTGGTGTCTGTCATAACCCGGCACATGGACGCTATAGAGAGGGGATCTGTCTACAACACAAGCAGATTGATTGATACACACGCGGCAAACTTACCCTGGCTAGATTACAGAATACCGTATACATTCTGTCATTTTGTGTACTTTTGTTTTGGGGTAATATTCAATGTTTTCGATGTTTATGAATAGCTTGATATTCAGTCTAACCATATTTAACCATACCAATACAAGCCGAGTCATGTTTTCTGGGTTTGGCTTCGTTACACTGTCACTTCCGGTTCGTTAGTAGGCTCAAACAAACATGGCGGACTGGTATTCGGTAGGTCCACCTTGACCTTAAGTGATTGAGTATAGTTTTACGCCGCTTTTAGCATTATTCAAACGATGTCAGGGCGAGCGACACCAGGTAATTAATGGGCGCCACACACTGTACGCAAATGGTGAATCGAACCCAGACTTTCGTCGGCGTGACGAGCGAACGCATTAACCACCAGGTTACGTCACCGACCCAGTAACCATACAAAAGTGAGTCTTTTAGAGATATGCTTCGTTACTATAACCAGCTCCATCCGAGAAAAGGGACCACCTATTCTTGTTGTGGTCGGCACTCTTCAGAAAAAAACAAGATAAAAAACCTCAGGATTTACGCCCCCCAAAATGAATGTGTTGTTGGGTCATCAAACATTGTTTGACCCTTCTGTTGGGGACAGACCAAGAAACATCATCAGTAGCATCCTTGATAGGGATAGTGGCAATATTGCTAAAAGCGGCGTAAAACCATGCTCACTTACTCACTCATGTCAATTACTACGCGCATTCTCCATCAGTTCCCAAAATTGCGTGAAGAAAATGCTTCCCAAAATCAGTTGTCCTTTCAAAGAATAAAATATACTCGTATCTGCTGAAAGAGTTGACTGAACAAATAAGATGTGGCACCCCCTCTATAAAAAAGCACCCTTCGAACCACCACACCACCACGTGGTTTCAATACAGTGAGTTTTGAACAGTGAGTGTTGGTGTATTTTCTCTGTTCACTTACCAAGTGAGTGAGTGAGTGAGTTTGGTTTTACGCAATATTCCAGCAATATCACGGCGGGGGACACCAGAAATGGGCTTCACACATTGTACCCATGTCGGGAATCGAACCCGGGTCTTCGGCGTGACGAGAAACGCTTTAACCACTAGGCTACCCGACCGCCCCCACTTACCAAGTACCCCATGTTATCGTTACTATACTGCGCTGTGTTAATGACAGGTGACAGCAGTCCATCCATCAGGTTCTCCACGTCCAGCTTGTCTGTGCGATCAAAAGCACACAGCCTAGAAACGTACAGAAAGGCAGTTCAGACATGAATGACAGACCAACAATATGATGATGAGAGCGACTTTGGGATTCGGACCGATTATCACAATGCTGGCATAACTAAGGGAGGCAACTCGGTGGAGCGACAAAGCTTGTCTTCACACAGTATGTATTAATCGACTGGTAAGGCATGGCAGTGTACCCAACGGCGTGAAACGTTGCTCCTAATAACAACCACTAGTTTGACTGACCTAGACTCTATTATTCACAGACGGTCTGGATATAGCTGTAATATAGCTGACTGCGGTGTAAAATGGTCTACCACGGGGAGATATAGAGGGGTATTGGATGACATCTACCTGAACAGTGACTGCAAGTGTTGGGCGCCAGTGTCAGTCTTGAGATGCTCCCTCACATCATTGAAGGCATCACCAACTGCCTGGTAACATCCGGGTACAGAGCGAAGAGATTCCCCGATACTTACTAGGAACTCTGAAAAACGTCCAGGTTATAGTATTAATACTTAACTTCCCCTTTAATAATCACACAAATATAACAAGACCTGTCACCTTGTCTCCCACTCATGATGTGTTAAGGAGAGCGAGGTATAAATTTAGGTATGTTTTGTTTAGTATCGCCTTTAATAGTTTTCCTTCAGTTAAACCACGCCATGTTAACTTTCACGGATGAAAACTAGCTGGTTTTGGACACATCCTAAACGTTGTGGACATGAACTAGCACTGTTGGACACATCCTAAACATGGCGGAAATGAACAAGCTGTGTTGGACACATCCTAAACGTTGCGGACATGAACTAGCTGTGTTGGACACGTCCTAAACATGGCGGACATGAACTAGCTGTGTTGGACATGACCTAAACGTTGTGGACATGAACTAGCTGTGTTGGACACATCCTAAACATGGCGGACATGAACTAGTTGTGTTGGACACATCCTAAACGTTGCGGACATGAACTAGCTGTGTTGGACATGACCTAAACGTTGCGGACATGAACTAGCTGTGTTGGACATGACCTAAACGTTGCGGACATGAACTAGCTGTGTTGGACATGACCTAAACGTTGCGGACATGAACTAGCAGTGTTGGACATGACCTAAACGTTGTGGACATGAACTAGCTGTGTTGGACAAATACTAAACGTTGCGGACATGCACTAGCTGTGTTGGACACATCCTAAACATGGCGGACATGAACTAGCTGTGTTGGTCACATCCTAAACGTTGCGGACATGAACTAGCTGTGTTGGACATGACCTAAACGTTGTGGACATGAACTAGCTGTGTTGGACACATCCTAAACATGGCGGACATGAACTAGTTGTGTTGGACACATCCTAAACGTTGCGGACATGAACTAGTTGTGTTGGACATGACCTAAACGTTGCGGACATGAACTAGCTGTGTTGGACATGACCTAAACGTTGTGGACATGAACTAGCTGTGTTGGACAAATACTAAACGTTGCGGACATGCACTAGCTGTGTTGGACACATCCTAAACGTTGCGGACATGAACTAGCTGCGTTGGACATGGCCTAAACGTTGTGGACATGAACTAGCTGTGTTGGACACATCCTAAACATGGCGGACATGAACTTGTTGTGTTGGACACATCCTAAACGTTGCGGACATGAACTAGTTGTGTTGGACATGACCTAAACGTTGCGGACATGAAATAGCTGTGTTGGACATGACCTAAACGTTGCGGACATGAACTAGCTGTGTTGGACATGACCTAAACGTTGCGGACATGAACTAGCTGTGTTGGACATGACCTAAACGTTGCGGACATGAACTAGCAGTGTTGGACATGACCTAAACGTTGTGGACATGAACTAGCTGTGTTGGACAAATACTAAACGTTGCGGACATGCACTAGCTGTGTTGGACACATCCTAAACGTTGCGGACATGAACTAGCTGCGTTGGACATGAACTAAACGTTGTGGACATGAACTAGCTGTGTTGGACAAATACTAAACGTTGCGGACATGAACTAGCTGTGATGGACACATCCTAAACGTTGTGGACATGAACTAGCTGTGTTGGACACATCCTAAACGTTGCGGACATGAACTAGCTGTGTTGGACAAATACTAAACGTTGCGGACATGAACACGTTGCGTTGGACACATCCTAAACGTTGCGGACATGAACTAGCTGTGTTGGACATGACCTAAACGTTGCGGACATGAACTAGCTGTGTTGGACACATCCTATACGTTGCGGACATGAACTAGCTGTGTTGGACACACCCTAAACGTTGCGGACATGAACTAGCTGTGTTGGACACATCCTATACGTTGCGGACATGAACTAGCTGTGTTGGACACAACCTAAACGTTGCGGACATGAACTAGCAGTGTTGGACATGACCTAAATGTAGTGGACATGACCTATATATGGCGCACAAGAACTATTTCAGAACAAAGTGAAAGAAGATTATCTTGGCTATCAAGTATTCATAGGTTATATCGTGTAAATGCATGGTTGATAGACGTCAGGTGAAGACTGCGTCATACACATAGGATCAAGGTAAGTTTTTAGCTTGATTGAGCAGCCTCCTCTTTTGAAAAAACCCCCAAAAGGTTTGATGATTTTACGAGTGAGTTTATTGTGTCTCACATACCTTTGTAAACATGAATCTCACCTGGAGAAAACACAGACACGCCAACAGGTGCACTGGATGCTAATGCCCCGGCAACCAGATGGGGGAACTTGTAGCGTAGGTAGGAGGACAACATACCTGCAACCAGAGATGAGGCCGAGTTCACATCATACGAGAGGCAACAGGGACATTGTGGGGTTCATATTCATCTTAATTGACCATATCATCACAGGGGCAAGAAAATAACAGCACACAGCAGACTTCGGATGAAAGAATTGTGTTTGGAGCCACAGTTAGAGAGATTCCAGTTTTACGCCCAAAGACAAAATGTAGGCACCTCTTACTTTGATTTCCAAACATATGTTGTAATCGTATCCTTTTTAAATTTTCACACGAAACACATTTGTTGTTTGTTGTTTACAAAGTGACATACTCCAATTCAAATACTTAAACCGAAAACGGTTTGGCTATAGTTATTTGGCTATCCTTACTATTCCTACCTCGGCGTCTCTGCATCAAATGGCAGGACCAAGTGCTTGTGACTGTCCGGAGGAACACACACTGTTCTCATGCAGGGTTTTCGATTAAATGTTACCCATTTGTCGAAAAATTCAAAAAAGTGTAGATCTTTACAAAAACCGCATAGAAGTTTGGTAGATATTGACTAACACGGCGACCTGTGCATAATCGAGTCTGTACCAGCCAAACAGGAGCTAACACCCAGGGCAGCCGGACGCTTGTCAGGTTACGTGAACATACAGTCGCGGAGCCTGACCATTCGTTTCCCAGTCGATCGAATCTTAAGACAACAATGAGATACTGGGAAACTACGGCGAATAGTATAAATTCATAAGGAGACAAAAGGTGTTTTTTTTAAGTGGGTTTTGCAACGTGACACCAAACACTCAATTTACGAATTGACCAAGTGGACCCACCTCCCTGATAAAATCCTGGATCCCCCCACTGTTTATAGATATCATATATCAAAAATACCCAGTGGGTAGTGCAGGATAGACTGGCCCCATGTCACCTATGCTGGCCGTAAAAGGTCTCTAACGTGGACGGCCAGGTCTTTTGGGTGACGCGCGTCATCGTACATGATACAGTTGGAATATTGCTAAGATCGGCCTTTAAGACCTTTCACTCACTGACATTAACGGACGATGGGGTAGCCTAGTGGTAAATGCGTTCACTTCTCAAGCCGGAGGTCCGGGTTTGATTCCCGCCAGGATTCCGTTTGTGGTGTTCCCCGCCAATAATTGCTGGATTATTAAAATCGACGTAAAACCCAATTCACTCTCTCACTCAAAAGTCCTACCTGAATAGGACCCTCCGAATGCGATCCACTTTGTGTCAGTGAGGTTGTGTTCCTTGTTTGCCGCTACTATGAAGGTGGCGAAGTCCTGCAAGGCTTGCTCTACAGTCAAGTACTGCAGGTTAGGTGTGCTCAGGTCGCTGGCAACACACAACACAAACACAAAAACATGGGTAAAGACAGAAATCAAATACACTATTGGAACAGGCTCGACGTAAACTGAAGAAGTTTTGAAATTTCGATTTGACCAAAACATTACAAACGTTATCAAAAAGTTACCAGGCAGAGAGCAGTCGCCGAAACACTGCAAACTTCCGGTCCAAACCCTTACTATGATACATGTAACATGTACCAGTATCAATACACCACCATCGAAAACCCATTTCTTATTTGTTTCATTTTTAGTCACCATCAAACTTAGGTGTATGCTGTCTTTTGCCCGGCAGTTTATGAACGTGTTTAAGACTTATCCTCTCCTCATAGGGGTCTGTTCCACACTGTGGGGCGGTCGGGTAGCCTAGTGGTTAAAGCGTTCGCTCGTCACGTCGAAGACCCCGTTCGATTCCCGACATGGGTAAAATGTGTGAAGCCCATTTCTGGTGTCCCCCGCCACGATATTGCTGGAATATTGCTAAAAGTGGCGAAAAACCATACTCACTCACTCACTCACTGTTGCACAATGTAAACTCAAGGCAATGGATTCAGATCTTTCAGCACAACTGGACATTGCCACTGGACTAATCTTTATTTTCAAATCAGACTTTTTATGAACCGTGAAGATCCGGGGTAGAATAGGTCTTCAGCAACCAATGTTTGCCATAACAGGCGACTGTGCTTGTTGTAAGAGGCGACTCACGGGATCGGGTGGCCAGGCTCGCTGATTTGGTTGATGCATGTCATCGTATCCCAATTGCATTGATCGATGCTCATGATATCAATCAGTGGATTGTCTGGCCCAGACTCGATTATTAACAGACCGCCGTCATATAGCTGGAATATTGCTGAGTGGGGCGTTATCTTGCCTCTTACGGTAAGCATGTGTTGCTGAAGACCTATTCTAACCCGGATGTTCACGGGTCCGCTGGGGAGTGATACTATTAACCAATGACAGGTACTGACGGTGTGGGGTGACTTTCGCCATAGTAACGATGTTCCACGGCAAAGCCTATGGCATGGTACGCCTGAATATAATCCATCCAGGCCCCCTCCTGCACGTACACCCCAAGGGCACCCTCTCCCCCGAGGGTCAGGAAGGCCGGACCGCCGGGCTTGTAGAACTTGTCGAAGACGTAGTATCTCTGAAACAGGCAATTAAATCAATAACTGGGATAACAAGCAATGAGACAGCTTTTCGGAAACGCAATGGTGCATTTGTGATATGGTAATTCGCCTTCAGCAATAATATGTTTCGTCGAAAATAAAAAATAATAATTTAAGAATAACCTTCTCTCACCTCTAAATATTGCCCAATGTCTAAATGTCTTCTACAGAAAGGTTGTAATCTACCCCCTGCACCCGTCCCCACTCGACACCACTCTTGACCAGCCAATACCCACCACAACCACCTGAAACAGATTTCAGGCAAAGAAGGGGCGCACTTTCTGATCACAAGTCAAGATACCAGTGTTAAATGGATAATGTGTGTGTGCTTGTCTCACTAAACGTGCCAGTAACAATTAGGATCGATGACATGCATCAAACCAAGTCAGCAAGCCTGACCACACGATCCCGTTAGTCGCCTATTACGACAACCATAGTCACCTTTTATGGCAAGCATGGGTTGCTGAAGACCTATTCTACCCCGGATCTTCACGGGTAAGCAGTAATGTTGAAATACGTTTACACTTCGTATACCCGTTGAGTGATAGTACGGTATGAATATTAAGTATGTTTCAAGAAGGTGGTACTTTCCGTTAAATAATAATTTCCTTGGTGATGCGGATATCATTTGATGTATATATGTGCTGTTTATATGTGTTTGTTTGTTTGTTTGTTGTTTAACGCCGCACTCAGCAACATTCCAGCTATGTGACGGTGGTGTGTAAATAATCAAGTCTGGACCAGACAATCCAGGCCTTGATAGCAGACAAAATACATCAGTGCATTCTTTTGATTTGTTGTTGTTGCTGTTGTTTGCTGTGTAACGACTCACACCGCATGTTTCAGCTGTATGTATTTATGTCTGTAAATAATCGAATCTGGACCTGACAATCCAGTGATTAATATATTTGAATCTCGATCTACGATGATATTCACTTGAATCACGCTGGCTTGCAGTGCACTTACCTGAAACATCGGCAACCTGGAACCCGTTTCACAAAGCCAATGTAGCAGTATGATTATTTTAATTCCTATACTGATTCCGACTGTCGTAGCTCTGTAGCACAACCCAAACGGTATTGACTTTTTTCCATTACACTCTTCAACAAAAGAAACGCACTGGTAGTATGTAGTTCATTGAACCTGACAAAAATCAGGTATTTAAATTGGATATATGTTATTGGTGGCCTGATATTCGACAAACGGTGCATTAAAACGCAGCCATTGTCGATTTTCAATGTCTTAAACAGCATTGTTTTAATTTCACACTCGTTCAAAACTGTCATGGAGGAAAACAGTAACGCAAAATGCACGTGCAACTTATGGCATTCGTAACTCGTGGTAGTGGCTATATAAAGGCAAGCATAAGCCAATAATTTGTTATTCAATTGTCAACATTGCTGATCGGAACATAGGACGTATCCAAAGTGAGGAATCGCAGTCTTCTGTTGCACGCCACTTCAACGTCCACCACAGCACCATTTGCCGCCTTTGGTACCGATACACACAGTTCAATTCCACTGCAGACCGTCCGGGAACCGCCCGACCAAGAATTACCACCCATGCACAGGGTCGGTACATTCGACTGTTCCACCTACGTCATCGGAATGCCACAGCTACGGAGACTGCAGGACGCATACCTGGTTTGAGGAGGATATCGGACCAGACTGTCAGGAACCATCTTCGCGAGGCTGGGATCCGACCTAGAAGACCAGCTATCGTCCCTGTCTTGCAACAGATCCATTGACAGCGACGCTTGCGTTGGTGCCATACCTTACAGCCTTAGGAATTTGAGAAACTGGAGACGAGTGTAGTTTAGCGATGAATCACGATTTCTGCTTCACCGGCGAGATGGAAGACGTGTTTATCGTCGTCGAAATGAGCGTTTTGCCCCACATTGTGTACGTGAATTCGACAATTTTGGTGACGGTAGTGTCATGGTGTGGGGTGCCATATCCTACACCACGAGATCTGACTTGGTTGTGGTTCAGGGAAATTTGACAGCAAATCGCTACATGAATCAAATTCTTCAATCTCACCTTCTTCCAATCATATGATCGCCAGAGGCAGCTGTTTCAACAAGACAACGCTGATGATAGACTACATCATAATGCCAACATGAATGTCTTGTCCTGGCCGTCGAGATCTCCAGATCTCATCCCAATCGAACTTCTCTGGGATGAACTCGATCTCCGTGTACGTCAACGTCAGAACACGCCGCAGACATTCCCATACCGCAGGACAGAATTCGTATACTTATCCACTCAGTGCCGAGGTGATGCAGAGCCGTGATTGCTGCCGGGGCGGTCACACGAAATACTGAGTTCAGCGCAACCTTGTGGCCTTATGTGACATGACAATGAACAGTTTTCAGTGCGTCTGTACAACGACAACATTTGTACAGCTCCAAATTTTGATATTTGTATCTATGATATTAAATTAAATATATCGACTTTATTAGGTACAATAAATTTACTACAAATCTACCTGTGCGTTCCTTTTTTTTTTAAGAGAGTATATGGTAAAGGCATACCATTAGATATGGCAAGATGCTGAGTACGTTAAATGTAACGCGATTTTAGTGAAATCACAACCTTCTAATTTATGATAGGCGTGAATCAGGAATTCGAATTCGTGATCAGCGGATCCTGACCTGGCTCAGAGACACAACTCTGCATTATGGAATTATGGCGCCTCACATCACATGGCCACGTGTGCCGAGATAAGTTATTCAAATTACACACATCATTTAAACCACTTTACACCGTAACATGTTAACTGACGGGCAAACTAAAGTATACACCCATGTTTGGTGGTGGCTAAAAATGAAACAAACAAGAAATGTTTTTTTCGATGGGGATGTGTTTAACACGGGTATCATGGTTGTGGTTTGGACCTTAAGATTGCGGTGTTTCGGCGTCTATTTTCATCCTACTAATAATAGTACTGTTTGGTCAAACCACATTTGAATTATACTCAGTTTTGTAAGACAATTTACATCAACCCTGTCAAAGGGAGAGTGAGTGAGTTTGGTTTTACGCCGCTTTTAGCAATATTACAGCAATATCACGGCGGGGGACACCAGAAATGGGCTTCACACATTGTACCCATGTCGGGATTCGAACCCGGGTCTTCGGCGTGACGAGCGAACGCTTTAACCACTAGGCTACCCGACCACCCCTGTCAAAGGGAGTACCTCAGGTGGTACACTCTACCTGTTTCCAGTAGCGATTGTCATCAACATTAAAGTGGTCCAGCTTCTGATGGATCCAGTATTCAGGTGATATCGTCGGAGGCGGCGTTGGAGCATCCCTTGATAACCGGTGGGAACCAAGGGATCTAACAGCATCTGCTACATTCGCTGGTAAGAAAATACCAATCCAAACAACGAACAAGAAATTGCCATATTCCATTCTCTCTTAAAGAAATCTCTCGAACTGCAATTCCAGTAACCATACTATGTTAATATGTAGAGGGGACAGCAGTGTGTATATTAACAGTCATTGCTTCTATTTACTTTAGATAATATCCTGATGTGAGAGTCTACCTACCTAGATACGCCGTGTTGTGTGTTACTGAGACACGCATGTGTACCAGTGAGTTGCCATGTACAGGGTAACATCACATTCCTAATTGGCTGGAACAACGATGCCCTCGTCAAACAAAACTATGGCATGTGGCAATTTAAAGGCTGACAAACATGGTACGTTTCTTAGCCTTGATTGATAACGTATAAACAGTCAGACGCAGGGTGGTATGAGAGTACTGTAATAGGGCCGGTTCATAATCTGTACACTTTTACACTGTGTAGCGTCCTATATTTGACTGAGGCGATGATTGAAATTGATGTTTCGCTGATCATAACCTGTGACAGTCTACACTGTGTAGCGTCCTAAATTTGACTGAGGCGATGATTGAAATTGATGTTTCGCAGGGTTATAACCTGTGACAGTCTACACTGTGTAGCGTCCTATATTTGACTGAGGCGGTGATGAAATTGATGTTTCGCAGGGTCATAACCTATGACAGTCTACACTGTGTAGCGTCCTATATTTGACTGAGGCGATGATTGAAATTGATGTTTCGCTGATCATAACCTGTGACAGTCTACACTGCGTTAGTCCCTCCATATCACGGATGAGGAATTCAGGAATGGGTGTCACACATTGTACCCATGTTGGGAAATGAACCCACAAGACAACCATAGCGCCCTCCTCTCTACATTCGAGCGCTGGTTTGTCTTGCTGTTGGCACCGACTGGAATAATTGTTTCTTTCTGTATAATTGTCGGTTCTGCCCTTCCCAGAACCGACAAACTGCGCATTATTTGCTTTATTGCTGTCAGCAATATGCCAGCTGTATGACGGCGATCTGTAAATTGTCGAGCCTGGGCCAGACAGTCCAGTGATTGACATTATGAGCAAGCATCTACGATTTGGAAACATATGTGCATCTAGGGTCTGGCCACCCGGTCTCGTTGGCAAGGGTTGCTGATGACAGATTCTCATCTGGATCTTCAACAGAGTTGGATCATAATCTGTGACAGCCAACACTCTGTAGCGTCCTATACTAGTATTTGTCTGAGGCGATGATGAAATTGATGTTTCGCTGATCATAATCTGTGATAGTCTACATTCTGTGGCGTCCTATACTAGTATTTGACTGAGGCGATGATGACATTAATGTTTCGCTGATCATAATCTGTGACAGTCAATGCTCTGTAGCGTCCTATACAAGTATTTGACTGAGGCGATGATGACATTAATGTTTCGCTGATCATAATCTGTGACAGTCAATGCTCTGTAGCGTCCTATACAAGTATTTGACTGAGGCGATGATTGAAATTGATGTTTCGCAGGGTCATAATATGTGACAGTCTACACTCTGTAGCGTCCTTTACTAGTATTTGACTGAGGCGATGATGAAATTGATGTTACGCTGATCATAATCTGTGACAGTCTACACTCTGTAGCATGCTATACTAGTGTTTGACTGGGGCGATGTTGACATTGGTAATTCGCTGATCATAATCTGTGACAGTCTACACTGTGTAGCGTCCTATATTTGACTGAGGTGATGATGAAATTGATGTTTCGCTGATCATAATCTGTGACAGTCGTCTACACTGTGTAGCGTCCTATACTAGTGTTTGACTGGGGCGATGATGACATTGATGTTTCGCTGATCATAATCTGTGATAGTCTACACTGTGTAGCGTCCTATATTTGACTGAGGCGATGATGACATTGATGTTTGGCTGATCATAATCTTTGAAGTCTATACTCTGTAGCGTCCTATACTAGTGTTTGACTGAGGCGATGATGAAATTGATGTTTCGCTGATCATAATCTGTGACAGTCTACACTGTGTAGCGTCCTATGTTTGAGTGATTATATAACTAGTGCCTAGTGCCTAGGCTGGTAACGCCTTCATAGGCATGTGATGTTTGACGTTTTCGAAGTGTTCTCAAGAATAGGTTCATAATTTCGGTTCCTCATGATCCCCTTACTACACATTACTTATATTTGACACGAGGCTAAACATGCAGCGGCAGCATTCAACATTAAAAACATGTGTCTTCTCATTATTATATTTTTTAATGATTGCATCGACCTTCCTCTGTTAAACATCTTCCTTTCATTTTCTAAATCAGTAATATGAGAAATATGTTATGGACACACTACTAAATTCATTGCATGCGTTTGTAAAAGCGTAAACAGTTTGCAGAAAAGAAGATGTTCCTTGCGCAACGCCGCGCTCAGCAATATTCAAGCTATATCGACAATCCACTGTGGACCGGACGATCCAGTGATTGATATTGTAAGCAAAGATCCACCCCGTCGGGGTACGATGACACGCAAGCAACTACGTATCTGGGCATGTCCACCCGATTCCTTATGTAGCCTCTCACGACCAGCATTGGTTGCTGGAGACCTAGCATCACTCCGAGTCCCCATACAGCTGGAACTAACTGCTTGTTTTTACTTCTAACGTTAAATACTACACTGTATGGATAGGAATCTGGTTAAGCTGCATATTGCATTACCTGTGCATTGCTAGAAGCGTCAGCATGTTTGCAGCATCTTTTAACAATATCAGAAATATATTTTCTTCAGTATCATAATTGCTCTGCACTGTTTTGAGCATCAGTTACACGTCAATGCAAGTACCATTAATATCAGCGTTGTGACGGATTCAATACTAAAATCAACGTTACCAATGTTAAGAGCAGCTATGCACTAAGGACACCTTTCGTTGGGCACTGATATCAATATTAGTCATAAATTTATGTCTCATCTGTGCATCAATATAGGCGTTAGTCTTGAATCGATATCAGACATAGCTATGACACGATATAAGGCTTAGAATGGTATCAATATCCGCCTTAGTGATGTATCAATATCAGCCTCAGAATGTATTAATATCCGCCTAAGCGATGTATCAATATCAGCCTCAGAATGTATCAATATCCGCCTTAGCGATGTATATCAATGTGTATAAATGTGTATCAATGTCAGCCTTAGATATGTATCATTATCAGCCTCAGATATGTATCATCATGAGCCTTAGATATGGATCAATGTCAGCATTAGACATGTATCAATATCAGCCTTAGACATGTATCAATATCAGCCTTAGAAATGTATCAATATCAGACTTAGACATGTACCAATATTAGCTTTAGAAATGTATCAATATCAGCCTTAGACATATATCAACGTCAGCCTTAGACATGTATCAATATCAGCCTTAGACATGTATCAATATCAGCCTTAGAAATGTATCAATATCAGTCCTAGACATGTATCAATATAAGCCTTTGACATGTATCAATATCAGCCTTTAAAATGAATCAATATCAGCCTTAGACATGTATCAATAACAGTCTTAGACATGTATCAATATCAGCCTTAGACATGTATCAATGTCAGCATTAGACATGTATCAATATAAGCCTTAGACATGTATCAATATAAACCTTCGGCATGTTTCAATAACAGTCTTAGACATGTATCAGTATAAGCCTTGGACATTATCAATATCAGCATTAGACATTTATCAATATCAGCCTAAGACATGTATAAATGTCAGCCTTAGACATGTGTCAATATCAGCCTTAGACATGTATCAATATCAGCCTTAGACATATATCAATATGAGTCTTAGACATGTATCAATATCAGCCTTAGACATGTATCAATATCAGCCTTAGACATGTATCAATAACAGTCTTAGACATGTATCAATATCAGCCTTAGACATGTATTAATATCAGCCTTAAACATGTATCAATATCAGCCTTAGACATGTATCAATATAAGCCTTAGACATGTATTAATATCAGCCTTGGACATTATCAATATCAACCTTAGACATGTATCAATAGCACTAGACATGTATCAATGTCAGCCTTATCCATGTACCAATATCAATTGTGGCTCTGATTCAATATGAATGTCACCCATGCATGAATACCAGCCAGAGCGTCACCGTTATCCGTAGTCAGGTATCAATATTAGCATCATATGTGCATCAATAGCAGCAGCAGCAGCAACAGCTGTGCATCAATTCCAGCCCTAGCTAGACATAAATCAATACCACCGTTATGTATTTTGCATTTACAATTTCCAGATGTCCTTGTCAATAAGGACACCCATTACATTCAAACCACCAACAACACATAATGGGGACCTCGTGTCCCACAATTGTGCACAGTGGCAGATTAAAAAGTACTCGCACATTCCTTTGGCCTCAATGTGTTCAATAATACGTTAACACAGTCCTTATATCCCTTGTATGTAGCTCTGTGCAGAGGTGTGTCACCTCTCTTGTTCTTCACTCTAAGATCAGCCCCAGCTTGAAGTAGCGTCTCAATGTTTTCCGCAGAGCCCTGTTCCGCTGCTCTGTGTAGAGGCGTGTCGCCTCTATCGTCCTGTACGTTTACATCTATTGAGGTACCAGAACTTCCATCCCACCACTTTGTCTCATCTCCAGGTAACATGTTACTGTCATCCATCCTTTGTTCCAGCATCAGCTTAAGGCATTCATGGGAATTTCTTCCGGCTCTGTGAAGTGGCGTTGAACCCCTCATGTTCTGAATATTTGCATCCGCTCCAGCCTTCAACAACTCATCTACACACCTACAATGGCCCCTCCCTGCGGCTTTGTGGAGTGGTGTGTTACCTATCGTATTCTGGACGTTAACTTCACCCATGTCCTTCAGCAATGCAGCGACACATTCTGGAACTCCCATCTCGGCTGCTGAATGGAAAGCTGTGTTGCCTGCCATGTTCTTTAGGTATCGGCTAGCGCCTGCTGCCAGCAGTACGTTTATATACTCAACTGACCGCCTCTTGGCACCTCGGTGAAGTGCTGTGTTTCCCACGTTGTTCCGTTCGTTCACCTTCGCTCCGAATTTTATTAACAGCCTTATTGAGTTTGTTGACCCTCTCTCGCTAGCTATGTGAAGTGGTGTGTCGCCAGCATTGTTCTTCAGATCCACGTCAGCTCCAGCTTCAAGTAGGAGCTCTACGCAGTCCACAGATCGTCTTCCCGCTGCCTTGTGGAGTGGCGTGTCACCGCTGCTGTTCTGAGCGTTCACATTAGCTCGAGACTTCAACAAGATCTCAACGTTATATTCAGACCCATACTCGGCCGCTATGTGAAGAGGTGTGTCACCTTTATTTGTATACATGATAGCACAACCATTAGATCGCTTTATAACGGATCTTTTTCCCAAGGGGCCACTGCTCTTGTTGTTCTGCTGAGTCTGTTCCCGCCAATACGTCTGTATCTGGAAATACACAAAATGTTATTGGAGTACCCTTGAGACATCTAGAGATGCTATTACATATTTCCGTTACAATTTCATACATGCGTTAAAAAAACAACTACATATTTCCTGAGACGGTCATGCGTACGTCATGAGACGCGTGTGAATATGTCGTAGCTTCTTCAAACGTACGCTATGATACGCTATTGTATATCTCGTAACACCTTCATACGTACGCCATAAGACTCTCTTGCATATCTAGTTACACCTCCATACGTACGCCGTAAGACTCTATTGCATATGTCGTAACACCTTCATACGTACGCCATAAGACTCTCTTGCATATCTAGTTACACCTTCATACGTACGCCGTAGGACTCTATTGTATATATCGTTACACCTTTATACGTACGTCGTGAGATTAAATTGCATACCTCGTACACGTTCGAACGTACGCCATAAGACTCTATTGCATATCTCGTAACACCTTCATACATTCGTCATGAGATTAAATTGCATACCTCGTACACGTTCATACGTACGCCATAAGACTCTATTGCATATCTCGTAACACCTTCATACGTACGCCATAAGACTCTATTGCATATCTCGTAACACCTCCATACGTACCCCATGAGACTCTATTGCATATCTCGTAACACCTTCATACGTACGCCATAAGACTCTATTGCATATGTCGTAACACCTTCATACGTACGCCATAAGACTATATTGCATATCTCGTAACACCTCCATACGTACACCATGAGACTCTATTGCATATGTCGTAACACCTTCATACGTACCCCATGAGACTCTATTGCATATCTCGTAACACCTTCATACGTACGCCATAAGACTCTATTGCATATCTAGTTACACCTCCATACGTACGCCATAAGACTCTATTGCATATGTCGTAACACCTTCATACGTACGCCATAAGACTGTATTGCATATGTCGTAACACCTTCATACGTACGCCATAAGACTCTTTTGCATATGTCGTAACACCTTCATACGTACGCCATAAGACTCTATTGCATATCTCGTAACACCTTCATACGTACGCCATAAGACTCTTTTGCATATCTCGTAACACCTTCATACGTACGCCATAAGACTCTATTGCATATCTAGTTACACCTCCATACGTACGCCATAAGACTCTATTGCATATGTCGTAACACCTTCATACGTACGCCATAAGACTATATTGCATATCTCGTAACACCTCCATACGTACACCATGAGACTCTATTGCATATGTCGTAACACCTTCATACGTTCGTCATGAGATTAAATTGCATATCTCGTACACGTTCATACGTACGCCATAAGACTCTATTGCATATGTCGTAACACCTTTATACGTACGCCATAAGACTCTATTGCATATCTCGTAACACCTCCATACGTACCCCATGAGACTCTATTGCAGATGTCGTAACTCCTCCATACGTACGCCATAAGACTCTATTGCATATGTCGTAACACCTTCATACGTACGCCATAAGACTCTATTGCATATGTCGTAACACCTTCATACGTCCGCCATAAGACTGTATTGCATATCTCGTAATACCTTCATACATACGCCATAAGACTCTTTTGCATATGTCGTAACACCTTCATACGTACGCCATAAGACTCTATTGCATATCTAGTTACACCTCCATACGTACGCCATAAGACTCTATTGCATATGTCGTAACACCTTCATACGTACGCCATAAGACTCTATTGCATATCTCGTAACACCTCCATACGTACCCCATGAGACTCTATTGCATATGTCGTAACACCTCCATACGTACGCCATAAGACTCTATTGCATATGTCGTAACACCTTCATACGTCCGCCATAAGACTGTATTGCATATCTCGTAATACCTTCATACATACGCCATAAGACTCTTTTGCATATGTCGTAACACCTTCATACGTACGCCATAAGACTCTATTGCATATCTAGTTACACCTCCATACGTACGCCATAAGACTCTATTGCATATGTCGTAACACCTTCATACGTACGCCATAAGACTATATTGCATATCTCGTAACACCGCCATACGTACACCATGAGACTCTATTGCATATGTCGTAACACCTTCATACGTTCGTCATGAGATTAAATTGCATACCTCGTACACCTTCATACGTACGCCATAAGACTGTATTGCATATCTCGTAACACCTCCATACGTACCCCATGAGACTCTATTGCATATCTTGTAACACCTTCATACGTACGCCATAAGACTATATTGCATATCTCGTAACACCTTCATACGTCCGCCATGAGACTCTATTGCATATCTAGTTACACCTCCATGCGTACGCCATAAGACTCTCTTGCATATGTCGTAACACCTTCATACGTACGCTATAAGACTCTATTGCATATGTCGTAACACCTCCATACGTACGCCATAAGACTCTATTGCATATGTCGTAACACCTTCATACGTACGCCATAAGACTCTATTGCATATGTCGTAACACCTTCATACGTACGCCATAAGACTGTATTGCATATCTCGTAACATCTTCATACGTACGCCATAATACTCTATTGCATATGTCGTAACACCTTCATACGTACGCCATAAGACTCTATTGCATTTCTCGTAACACCTTCATACGTACGCCATAAGACGCTCTGGAACACGTACAGTAGACGTTCGTAGATCAAGACATGGATTTCGTGTTACCGCTCAGTATAAACAAAAGTCTGTAATCGCGTTTAGTCATCCCCGGCACGGTAAGCAGATACATAATATCGATAAGACGTTTAGGGTCGCTTGTCACAGCAAGGGTAGATGATAGAGTGCTGTCACAGGGAGTATCCCCCGGGGGTGCATTCTTTAAGCTTCTGGACTGCCACAGGTCTCCCAGGTGTTTGGGGCTGTGCCGATATGTCAAGGGTAAAAATCAACAGTGATTTGTATATTTTATGGGTGTAGTAGGTTCATGTCATGTCGGGGCGGTCGGGTAGCCTAGTGGTTAAAGCGTTCGCTCGTCACGCCGAAGACCCGGGTTCGATTCCCGACATGGGTACAATATGTGAAACCTATTTCTGGTGTCCCCCGCCGTGATATTGCTTGATTATTGCTAAAAGCGACGCAAAACCATACCCACTCACTCACTCACTCTGATGTTAAGCTTTTATTTGCAGAAATTATAATGAATTCAAAATGTCAGGTCAATTACTACGCGCTTTCTCCATTCTGACATATGAGTGTTTGTTTGTTTGCTGTTTAAAGCTGCGCTCAGCAATATTCCAGCTACAGGAGTGAGGGCGGTGTGTAAATACTCGAGCCTGGACCTGATGTCATGAACATCGATCTACTCAATTGAGATTCTCGTACAATAACATGCATCAACCAAGTGAGCGAGCCCGACCAACCGATCCCGTTGGTTGCCTCTTACGACAAGCATCGTCGCCTTTTATCGCAAGGATGCATGATATTCTTTTTCGGGAGGGACTATTTTCTGTCATTCATTAACGGCATGTGGTGGTTTTACAGGTATTCTGTTCTTCTTCGTGGTCTAGTGGATAGAGCGTCTCTCGCAGTCAGCATACAGTATACTGTCACTATACTATATATATATATGGGTGTGTGTGTGTGTGTGTGTATACACTTCGGTACATAATACCAATACTCCCGAACGCGATGTTCTACCCCATTTCACCTTAATCCTACCATGTTATATTTTAGTATATATTGTGGAAACCGGGTCAATCCGTTCTGGATGAGTGGACGTAGTGCATATAGCCCAAAGCCTGCTCTCGCAACAACGTAAAAACAAGTCGGCCTATTGTGAAATTACCTTCACTGAGAATTGTAGGGTCCCCCGGGTGCATTGACTTTCTCCTTCCCCTCATGACCCCGACCCCTCGTACACATAGGACCAGATATTCTCTGTAAACATACTTGCCCCTTCCCAAACAAGCACAGTCACACGACACACATGACCCCCCCCCCCCCCCCCCCCCACACACACACACACACACACGCACACACAAGGAAAGACACACGACACACAGCACACTTTCCCCCCCACACACAAACACAGAAACACAGCACACTTTCCCTTCCCACACACACAGACACATCACACACACGCCATTTTCCCTCCACACACAAGGACAGACACACGACACACATGACATCCCCCCCCCCCCCACACACACACACACAAGGACAGACACACGACAAACAGCACACTTTCCCTTCCCACACACAAGGACAGACACACGACACACATGACATCCCCCCACACACACACACACACACAAGGACAGACACACGACACACATCAGACTTTCCCTTCCCACACACAAGGACAGACACACGACACACATTACACTATACCTCCACACACAAGGACAGACACACGACACACATGACACTATACCTCCACACACAAGGACAGACACACGACACACATGACATCCCCCCCCCCCCACACACACACACACACACAAACACACACACAAGGACAGACACACGACACACAGCACACTTTCCCTACACACAGAAACACAACACACAGCACACTTTCCCTTCACACACAAGCACAGACACACGACACACATGACACTTTCTCATTAACACACAAGCACAAAGACACAACACAGAGCACACTTTCCCCACACACAAGCACAGAAACATGCCACACAGTAAACATGAAACATTCCCTCCGCACACAAGCACAGACACATTCCATACATGACGTTTTCCCTCCAAACACTAACACAGAAACATGCCACACATGACGTTTGTCCTCTACACACAAGCACAGAAACATGCCACACAGTAAACATGAAACATTCCCTCGGAACACAAGCACAGAAACATTCCATACGTGGTGTTTTCCCTCCAAACACTAACACAGAAACATTCCATACATGACGTTTGTCCTCTACACACAAGCACAGAAACATGCCACACAGTAAACATGAAACATTCCCTCCGCACACAAGCACAGAAACATTCCATACGTGATGTTTTCCCTCCAAACACTAACACAGAAACATGCCATACATGACGTTTGTCCTCCACACACAAGCCCAGCAACACGACACACATAACCACCTGTCACCTCCAGTGACAACAGCGGCAATGAGATCTGAGATCACCCAACCTACTTTTGTCGATCATCGAGCATCACTGCATCACCCAACACTGACACAACTAAACAAAGTACATCAACTAACCGACATACCTGTATAGCTAATGACAGTGACAGTCCGTCTCTGGCGAGTTGACTCCCACAGGCATCAGCAAGGCGTCTTGCGTCGACTACAGCCACGTACGCACATGATAACAGTCATACCGTGACAGTCGACGAGAGGTCTATATGGTTCACATACGTTATGAATGCTGAATAGACGTTTTCTGTAACGCCCTGTCATACTATCTAGAACATAGCGTGGATTGTGTGTAATCGCTAAACCGGTTACATTCCACGCAGCTGTCAACGGCGCTCATATGTCTCGACAATGACAAGATAGCTGAATGCCTGTATGAAAGCCCTTGTGTTGTAAATACTGCCTTGTGTAATGCAGCTTGATACAACATGGCAATATTACTATGAAGGCACATGCAGGGACAAGTAAGGACATATTGGGACATATAGGGAATGCATGTTGTTTAACGCCGCTGTCAGAATTGCTCCGATGTATCGAGTCTGGAATGAGGAACAAGCGGCTGGCGTCATGATCAACAATCTACGGCGTCGGGACATATTGAAAGGGATATATCCATGATACACAAAAATGATTCTCATATTATCATTGTATATTTTTTTTACATTGCTTATTATTGCAGTATTATTTAAGAAATGACTTTCACTTGGAGTGGTGAACGTCGGAGCTTGCTCACTCTATGAAGGTTCATGCTCCAATGAACGTCGGAGCTTCCTCACTCTATGAAGGTTCATGCTCCAATGAACTCACACAAAGTGAAAGTCAATTCTTATAAAAAAAATTATATCACTATTATTATTTTACCTTGAAAGACGAAGTGCTAGATCTGTGCACAATTCTAATTTGAGTGAAACATGTGATTTCATATTTGTAAGACTGACAGACATACAACAACCAGCCGTATAATATGAAATAAAATAGTTCCTCATAAAGAGAGGTGACATGAGAGTATATATGCTGCAACCTGCTGTACAGGAATATCTGTTGCTGTTTGTTTACAAGAAGTGAATTCAAATAATAGCATCATTGGGTGAGGAAGGTCTGTTAAGAACTACCTCAGTAAGTCGGTCACAAAGGCAGCGCGTCGTAATACATTTACATCAAGTACAAGACGTCAAACTGGCCGACACGATAAATGTGACGGAAGAGATTTCCGAAGTTATCAATGTTATTACATGTGTTAATCATCATTGATCAATTGGTCGATCTTTGACAGGTGGTTATAAAGATGTGTCAAACAGGTACTAAGGTAAATTCATCGAATGCTCCAGGCTTTCACTGTCAATCTAGACACGGATCGAGTCGACACTACGATAGTGCGGATGTGCATTTCCTCGTTTTGTTCACGAGCATGGGTCGTAGCGAGGATATTCGTGAACGATCATGCAGTCAAACTCTCTCGTTTTTTAACGTATGCTTAAACGCTGAGTTTAAGATTAGAGAAATTATCAGAAACAAAGCTTCTGTATGTATTCGTGTTGGGTAATTTCCAGTGTTTACCCAGGAATGTGGAAGTAATCCGTCAGTGCTTACCTCATTTAAAGAACACGGTCTCGTGAATAACGCATGAACGTCAAGATGTGTCGCTCATGCACTTATGAACGTCAATGTTGCGGTTGCGTGACCGACCGCTCGTCCAATGGAAAAGCCCTATATCGTGGAACGTTTACATTAACAAAATATGACAGGGTAAATGTGATCAACCAGATTATATATATATATATATATATATATATATATATATATATATATATATATATAACGTATCTGCAGTGAAAGGGTGAATATGGCTTTGTGCCGCTTTAAGCAATAGTCAAGCAATATTACTGCTTGGAACATCGGACATAGTGTTCTTTGTAACCATGTGTGGAATCAAACCCGGACTTTCGGCGTAAGGAGCGAACCTTTCAACTACGAGCACACCCTCCATCCTTTTTATTTCCATTGAACCATACTGTGATAACTTTTACCTGCTATAAAATGGAGCTAATTAAGATAATTCGGTTATCGTTACATTTGTAAAGCATTATGTATTCCTTTAGCCGCCAATGTTCACTCTTCTTTTAAACGACGAAATCACTATAACTAAAATATTATAACATGATACCTGTAGTTTTTTTCTACATGGAAAGAGTTCCAAACTAATTATGCTATTAAACCTATTGTAACGATAATTGTCGTGTCTCATAAGCCAGTAATGGCTGGAAAGTGTGTTTATATTGTATTTTATATATTGGTTTATTCTTAATGAACACATTGTGATACGTTAATAAACTATATCTTATTATCTCATCTCATGTCATCTCATGTCATCTCATCTCATCTCATCTAAGTCTGTCATCTCATCTCATCTCATCTAAGTCTGTCTTACAGACCCTGATACAAATATATATGAAATACAGCCCATGCAAGTCTATAATGTTTGGCAAGTCTAGATTACTGCAGTATCTGAAAATGAAGAGAATCACTGGGCTCCCTTTTTATTATATTTTTATTAAGATGACTGAACAACTGTTTTTTCTGTACGAGATGTTCATTTCAGAGACTAGATGTTAGTCTAATCTCATCTCATCTCATCATCTCATCATGTCATGTCATGTCATGTCATCGTGTCGTTTCGTCTCATCATCTCATATAGTCATGTCATGTCATTTCATTTCATTTCATTTCATTTCACTTCATCTTATCTTATCTCGTCTCGACTCATCTCGTCTCGTCTCGTCTTATCTCATCTCATCTTCTCATCTCGTCATGTCATATCATGTCATGTCGTGTCGTGTCGTGTCGTGTCGTGTCGTGCCATGCCGTCTCGTCTCGACTCGTCTCGTCTCGTCGCGTCGCGTCATGACGTGTCGTGTCGCGTCATCTTATCTCGTCTCGACTCATCTCGTCTCGTCTCGTCTCAACTCGTCTAATCTTATCTTATCATCTCATCATGTCATGTCATGTCCTGTCCTGTCGTCTCGACTCATCTCGTCGTGTCGTGTCGTGTCGTGTCGTCTGGTCGTGTCGTGTCCTGTCGTGTCGTGTCGTGCCATGCCGTCTCGTCTCGTCTCGTCTCGTCGCGTCGCGTCGCGTCGTGTCATGTCGTGTCACGTCGTGTCGTGTCGTGTCGTGTCGTGTCGTGTTGTCTCGTCTCGACTCGTCTCGTCTCGTCTCATCGTCTTGTCTCATCTCATCTCATCTCATCCCATCTCATCTCATCTCATCTCATCTCATCATCTCATCTCATCTTACTGGGTGTCTTTTTACCCTTGAAATCCACCCTGAGACGGGAGGGTGGCTAGTCGGAACAAATGATGACAGGTAATACAGGTAATACATGCATACTACTGCTCCAAAGTTAATTCCAGTCTGGTTTCCGGGGTATGCTGCGCTAGCGCTACCCTGCATACCGAGGGAACCAGAGTTAATTCTTGCAATTGCATTGCTAGTGCATTCAACAAAGGGAATATTGTATAGTATTTACCTCAGATGGAGGATGTGCTTACATTCCGACTCTATCACGACAATGGAAAATGCTGACTCGGCTGTTCGATTCCAACTACTTCATGTTTCTTAGTCACTATACGTTTGAACAATATTCCAGTTACATCACGGCGTGTCAGATCAGTGTGGGAGGAAAGCCCGAAGTGATGCAGGTCTCAGACGTTTACTGCTTCACATGGTAAAACCAACGAGCACGGGTATGGTGCTGAGAGATGTATAAACATAATAAAGGCTGATCGGGATTCGAACCCACAATAATAGGATCCTGGCGTGTCTAAGGGACGCAACTGAATGAAATAAAGATCAGATAATTGTTGGCGGAGTGGTGCGCCAGCCTTGTAGGTTTGGTTCATCACTCCAAATGCCCTCGATCGATTTCCCGCAGGGTACAGTGGGTGAACCTGTGACCCATGGTACACGTCAAAAAGGGTCGAGGTGAGGTGAAGTGGGGTTCAACGTCGCGTTCAAGAATATTGCGTTATATACTTGCATGCACGTGTGAGTGTGTGTGTGTGTGTGTGCGTGTGCGTGTGCGTGTGCGTGTGCGTGTGTGGCTGCTTGTACTAGTCCGGACTAATGCCGTGTTAAAAGTGCCTGCCCACTGAGATACCATGCCGCAGTTTAACATGAATATCCTACTCAGACACAGTATACTGTCTCCGAACCGACCAGTCCCTGATTTAGCCCCTTAATGCCGAGCGCCAGACAAGGGTAGCAGGTAACATCTTTTAACGTCTTTTGTTATGATGCGGCAGGGGATCGAACCCCGGGCCTTCCGCTCTCCAGGCGGACGCTCTACCACTAGACCATGAAGATGGTCCTAAAACAGGGATTTGCCTCAGACATCAATCTGGACTTGTTCTCCACATGTCTACCATGAACGTTTTGAAGGCTGTAGTCTGATTAGTACAAGAGCGGGCTCAAATCTACATTATTCCACAATGGTGTACATACCGAGAGAAACTATTGTGATGTCTTTGTCTCCAGCAACATTCCAGCAAAACCAGCCTTTGGTGTCTACATTTCACAAATTATGAAGAACAAAAATAGTTTAATAGTTGTTCGATCAGGGGTACAACATTCAAGGCTTTAGTAGCTGTATAAATCAGTTATAGTGATACTGTCGAGTGCATATTTCCAAGAGAAATATATATGTGTGGTATTGAGGCAGAGCGTCCGCCCGGAGAGCGAAATGTGCGGGGTTCGAACCGCGGCCGCGTCATACCAAAAGTTGTTGGAACATGGTACTTGTTGTTACCCCGCCTGGTCGACACGGAGTCAGTATGCTGTGACTCAGTGGAGTATTCATATTATCTCAGTGGTATCTCAGTGTGCTAGCACTATAAGATCCTTGCAATTGGTACCTTCCAAGATTAGCCCAGACAAGTAAAAACAGACACACACACACAGACACACACACACACACACACACACGCACACACACACACGCCATTACTATAATTATCAGAGACGCGATGTTAAAACCCATTTCACCTCATCTCAAAGGGATAATTTGGCTGGTTTCAAAACCTCGAGATATGTCTGTTGTACTCATGTTTAAAAATGTTGGTTTAACGAAACACGTGTGTAGTCCTATCTCGCCCAAGGGAAACAACTCTGCACGGCGCATTGCTACACTTAAGACAACTGGGCCAGCCAATATGCAATGGAAGATAAAAGTT